CCTTATTTAAGAGTTTTTTGTTGTTGCAGCTAAGCAGGGACTGGTTTCACCCTAATGAGCCTTCTTGCAAGCGGGGTTTTATCCAGAGGTTGATCCACGACCTCCTCCAGAGTAATAATTGTGAACCTTCCGGTGAGGACGAAACCTACTTTAACCCTCTGGAGAGAGAAAATAACCATAACCAAAATGATATAGAATTCTCATCTCATCCGTTTGGTGGTTCAAAAAGTTATCAAGAGGAAGTACTCTGCAATCTAACAAATCAGGGTGTTGAGATCAACCCACTATCTTCCTCGTCGTTTTCACTGAAGGATGAACAGTGTGAAAGCAGTTCACGCTTTCATGGAACAGAATCTAATTTGCAGGCTCAAATTGATATGCACTTCTGTAGTTCACGGTCTTTCAATGAGGTCAACAATGAGGTATTTTGTCACCCCAAAGTATGAACTAACTAGAGAAGAAAGAACTAATAACCAACTCTTCAACTTCACATTCAGGAATATGTCTTCGTTTGGGTGAAGGCCTAAATGTTTGAATATGTTGATGTTTTGCTTGAGTTTGCTGACTTATCCAAATCATTTGTTTAAAATGTATTTTCCAAATAATTGAAAGCAAAAAACACCTAATTAATGTATCATGTTCATTGGTTTCAATTGTATCGCCCCAAATGAGTAACTTGTGCACTATTTTTGTTGTTGTTGGAGTTTGTCTCCTATAAGCTGAATATAAAGTAACAAATGAAGAGCTACAGCTACCCCTATTAGATCACCGTTTTAGAATGGAACCCCAAATAACATCAATGACCTAGCAAATATTTAAGATTTTTTACTGTTCCTCCTGTTAGGTTAGTCTCTTACAATGACACTTGCAGTCTTCATAGATTTAATGAGCAACAATGAATTATGTTAGTGAGAAATTTGGTTGGTAAGGCTGTTACTTGAAATAAATTCTCCCTAAGTAGGAGTAAAAACGATGCCGATTTTCAAAATAGGAAAATACTACCATATTAAAGCCCGGTAAAATTTTAGGGACAAAAACATAGTACTCCTGTTTTGGAATTTTACTTCGTTTTTACTCCTAATCCGGGAATTTTTCCAAAAACACCTATTTCGTTTTGGTAGTTGGGGAATGGAGCACATGTACTCCTGTAATATAGGTATGCGAACAAACATACCCATATTTTAGTTTTTAGAACAAGAAACTCTTAAATTCAGAGTTTTGGTCTAAAATCACTCCTACTGACGTTCCGTTAATACTCGTTACGTTGATACTTTGAAGAATTACATCACATATTTAAGTAGAAATAAATTGGTGACTTGCAATTGCAGAGAAAAACCAATACCTAACCAGTAACTATGGGTGAGCTATTACTATTACATAACCATTATTTTGAAGCTGAATCGCCATTTAGATGAACTATTATTATTACATAAATTCCACATCAAACCTGCAACTTAGCTTTCAAAGCAAAGACCAGTGGATGAGCATACCATATCTCTTATACCCAATTGATGCATAAAAAATAAGGGATCGACAATTAATTGAATGTAGGTATGGATACCTACATTTATTCTTGATTCTATGTGGTGGTAATCAATTTTAGGTGCTAAATCAAAGTAATTTAGGTCATTTTTTCTGTTTCATCTTCGTTTCTTTCATGTTCTTCTGTAATCATTAAAATATTCATTAAATATGATCGGTTCAACATCCCAGTCATTGATAGAATCCCCAAATATAGAAACTGAAACTCCATTAAGGCTCTGCAAACCCAATAGCCTCTCAATTACTGGATTCATACTATCTTCAACTTGATCTCCATTAAAAATTTATTTGCAGCAGCTACCTATCTCATTTACCAACAATACAATATTTCTCCATTGAAAAGTGTAGCACTTATCATGTATAATCTGCATTTCGATGAGGCTTTCTTCTGTTCTACAGCAATTTAAGACACTGAGTGAGAAGTGTTGGACTGCTACACTCTTTGCATCCGACGGATATTAGTTTTAACGGAACGTTAGGAGAGGGTATTTTTGACTTTAGAAGTTTTTTTTTTCTTCTAATAAATATAAAGGGTATATATGTTCGCCTCCCCTGTTGGCTTTATTTCCGCGTTTGTAACAATTTTCTTGGTATAAATAATAGGAAGACGTAGAAGGCACTGGAGAATTTTTGTACCCTCCAGCCTCCAATGAAGCTGGATTTGGAGATGTTGGAGAAGCAGTGGATGCTTCTGAAGAAGCAGTGGATGCTTCTGAAGAAGCATTTGAGTTTCCTTATGTTTGCAGGGATGAAAACAATGATGTCACGCCAGCGACTTCTTGGAAGCAAAGGATTTCATCAAATGCCTACGAGCAAAATGAATGTGAAGTGACAGTTGATGGAAAGTGCGAATCCGATGAAGTGGAGAAGAATTCAGATGAGGACGTTGATAAGCCAGCAGCATCCGTCGCTGCAGAAGATGCCACCAAATGCTTTATTGATTCCTTCCCATCTCATACAGTGTTAGATATAACAGAACCACAGTCTGTTGCTTCTTATGTTCCAGCATCCCATCATGATGTCCTGGACAGGGAAGAGAATTCGTTGACTGAGAACTTATCTGTTCTGGTTGACTTTGCCATTGTTGATGATAATGATATGGCCCAGAATGTCGCAAAAAAAATTCGGCTTATGAGTCCTGCTGAAAGGGAAGTTGAGCTCAAAGCCCTCTCTGAAGATTTGCATCTGTGATATCATATCCTCCTGTTGGTGATCCAATTGTTCATTATTTTTTGTCATAGATCATACTTCCCGCGTTAGTTGTTGTGATTATGCACATACCCACGCGTATGCCTGTAGCATGCTATTTTGTATGGAGTATTGTTTATCCTCATTTTAATCGCAAATCATCCAAGTTGAATTCACCTTAGTATGTTTACATTGTTATAGGGGAACCAAAATTAGTGAAGATGTATGAGTTGGTCAAAAAAAAGACTTGACCATGGAAGAACACTGATTTTTCACCTTTGGAGTTTGGAGGGGTCTGTTTTTTGTCCAAAACCTAACAAGTATCTAATTTTGTGTCAACTCAATTGTAATGATAATATGATATCACGCATAGGGTATGTGTTTTACCTTAACGTGTTATTATATGTGCGAGTATAATATTTATTTAGATTATGTGCTGGAGTTACAAACTATGGACTAAAATAATAATTAGAAAGCCTAATTACTTCTGGATTAGGCTAAAAGAGCTTGTGGCTAGAAATTGTTTGTATTTGCAAAGTGTAATTGGCTATCAATCTTCATCACATCGTTCTTAATCTCATTAAGACAACTTGGTGATTTGACATTTATATTAACCAAAGTATTTCAATTTTCAATGAAAGTACTGATCGATAATAATTTTATCATCTTTCGTGTTAGAGAGACAAGAGGAAATGAGGAATAGAGGATGATGATATGTGTGTTTGGTATTATTTGTCTACTTTTTACATCAATTATGATCATACTAAGATAATCTTTAGAAATAATTATAAATTTATGATTAAAATGAAGATTGTTTATACTCCGTATAACTTTAATTATAATAACTTGTGTTTAACTTTTACAAATAAGTGACCATGACACTATACTATAGTATTTTTTTTGTATATAAGTTTTATCTAAATGATATTCTTAAATCTTAGATCAGTTATATTAAAAGATGCCACATACTATCATATAATTTAGGATCAAACCTTGAGTGTTATTCAACATTTGGATTGTATATTTAGTTTATCCACTTTGGTAAAAATCTATTTTCTTATTCATCTATGGTTCTCCCGTCAAATTTTAGACACTGGTAATTAAGTACTCATAATACACTTATTTTCAGAAAATAAGAATGTGAGTGATTAGTTCGTGTAGCTTTCATTCAACTAATGGTGTCCAAAATTTAAATGAAATGAAAATGAAATTACACGAGCTCACGAGCATCATAACTTTTTAAAATGGAGATAATTAGAAAAATAAAAAGAAAGTAAAAATCTTCATGGATGAACACAAATTATTTGCAAGCTATATTGCACAGAAACGTGTAAATTATGAGGAAACGATAAACAGAAAACGTCAACTTTTGATATAGAAAAACATCTATTTGGAGAGTTTCTGAGAGTTGTTAGAGTTTTCAAAACATATTTTTACTCGAGAATATCCCTGCTTCGTAATTTGCAAGGAATCCAAGGATGTAAAACTACTATTTTAGCAAAGTGGAAAACATATTTTAGATTTCCGTCCCGAAAAAGTTAGCCAAATTTACTTTTCTGGATGTTCCAAAAAGATTTGTCATTTCCATTTAAAGTAAGGAATATGTGGCTAAATTTAATATTCTTCCATCTTCACAAATTTCAACCACACAATTTTTATTTTATTAATTCATGTGAAAGTCAACTTTGACCAACCTTTTCGGGACGGAGGGAGTAGCTGTCATTTTAAATTAAATATTCAAGATTTTACAAATAAGAACGAATATTGTTGGCCTGTTGCTGCGAAATGGCAATATTACTATGTCACACAGGCAACAAAGTCGGATCGAAGCACGTGTCATCCACATAGTATAAATTGTAATTAAATTTAATTATGTATTAGTAAATATTAAAAAAGTTAATATTTTTTGGAAATTTACATGAATATAAATTTAATAATATTTTATACATAATATTTTGATTATGTAGATACTGAGTATATTATTACCTCCGTCCTTTAAAACTTTGCCAAGGTTGACCGGCACGGAGAATAATAAAGTAAAAACTGTGTGGTTGAGGTTTGTGCAAAGGAAAGAGAAATAATAGAAATCACAAAATAATTGATTAAAAGGGAAAGTGACAAAATTTTAAGGGATGTAGGAAGTATTAGAAAATTGTAATAAAAGTAAGGTGTGCGAATCATAGGAAAAATTTCAATGTTGCTATTTTTAAAATTCCATCGATAGAATATTAAAATTCCATTATTTTTATTTTATTATTTACCATTCTGGTTAGTGAGAGACGGGGGCGAGGGAGGGAAAAAATACTCGGCACACAAAGAACAACATATACGCAGTTTCGTCTAAGCATACTGTCCATTTTCTGGCATGTCAGCTAACACCAATGTCCTCATTCCCGTCCTTCTCTTCTTCTTCCCTCTTTAAATCCTTCCTCGAAAAAACTATATCGCTCCATTAAAATTCTTAATTGGATCTCTCACCTTCTTCTCTTTTCTCCATCATTTATTATGGACTGCTTCGAGTCATCCTTAGCCGAGGCGCCCTCTATCGCCTACGCTCTCCTGTTCAAGGTCGCTATGGCCATACCCACACTACACTACTTGTTTGGACTGGCATTAGTTTGTTCGGTTTCCCTGTACAATTTTTTGGAGCTCCATTTTCTTCAGGATCTTCTCTCCGGGTTCCGCGGAGATCCCGTTTCTCTAACCTACAACCCCTGCTCAGAGATGTACCATGGAGTGGTCTCTAAATGTCGTGTTATTCATGGCAGGTCAATTTTCTGATCTTTGCAATTCAATTATTCATTACAGCATGATGAGAATAGTTTGACCCGAGCATTTCGGAAATCGAAGCTGTTGTATTTTACGGAGTAGTAGTTTACCACAAAAGGATGATGTTGTGCTAGCTACGGTAAATCTGTGCAGTGATGACACACGATATTAGTTGATGTTAAATACAAGTGGATTCAGTATATTATTGCGGAGTTATTGTTGAGAATGAATGTGTTAACAGCCAAAAATACAGTTTATGCGTCGGATTTTGAAGTAAAATATAACATGAATGATCAGGCTTGCGATTAATGATTCTTTTGACTCTAAAAATTTCTGCTTTAATCCTACTGTTTTGCTGGATATTTGCTCCAAATAGGTATCTGGCAACACCTTGGCTCTCTAGCCCACACCTCCAAACGTCCTTCATAAACTTCTTTGGGCGGCCTCCAGTTTTCAGATACAGAAGGTACTCTTTCAATGTCCATTTAAAATTTATGTAAAGTTAGGTAAGGTTTTATAGCATTTTGCCATCTTCAGCATGGTGTATATCTCTTTTGAGACCTTGAAATATTCAGTCACAATTACTTAGGGTGACTCTTTTTATCATTTTTTTCGATTAATTATTCTTTGGACTCTAGCTTGCTGGTGGAGACCAATTAAGTAGTGTTTGACATTGTTTAAAAAGTGTTTTTCAGTTTAAAAAAGTTAAAAGTAGTGTTTTTGAAATGGGTGTTTAAAAAAGCTAAAAGCAGGGTGTATGATCGGGGAAGGATGCTTTAAAGTTTAAACTGCTTTTCACATTTTTTATTACACAAAAAAGTATTTTTACCAAAAACTTTTTCTTTCTACATTCTATTATGCGCTTTCCATATCATCTCGAAATAATTCACTCCTCAAAAGTAGAAGCAAACGCAAACACTCCTTTACTTTGGTCCTCTAAGTTAAAGTTATAGGTATCATTGTCTCGTGATACTTTTAGCAGTTTGTATTTTGATGTGGACACTTCTTATAAAAGTTTTCTGGAACAGTTAAAGTAGTTATAGAATTCATTCCTCATCTTGAACTGGTAAGCTATGTTGGGACCAGGAAAGTGACAGTGAAAAGAACAAAAATGTTTAGCATTTTTTTAAAGTTTGGCTTGACTCTGGAAAAATAAGAAAACCCAATTAGAACAGTTTTAAGTTATATGTATATTTAGATTTGTCAGCCTACATATAATAGAATTTTTTTCCCTTTATGTTCCTTATTGTCTTTCCCTACCATTTTAGAGGTTCTAAATGCCCCTTAGCATGCATTTGATCTTCTTTCATTCCCGCCCTACATATTGTATTATTCTGTTTTGGTTGCATCTGAGCATTTTCATTATGACTTTTGTCAGACAAATTTTCTATGCATCTGACGGTGGGACTTTAGCTTTGGATTGGGTTTTGAAGTCTGATGGTAATTTACTACCTATCACATGTTCACTATCATAATATTGTCAGGTTTATTTTTCGTTGAACTGACTCATTGAATTTGAGCCAGAGGCCCAGAGCAAATTCATTCCCATTTCGATTGATTGACATGTTTAGAGGATTCAGATGTATTCTTCTTTTAAATTTTTACTAGCTAATTACATGATTGAAGTTCGTTTTTGCATGCAAAACTATTCCCATGCTTGTGACGGGTTAAACTACTTAGAAATATGTGTCTCTTTACAGTTTCTGGAAATGCTACTGACAAGAACATTGCCATATATAAGGATGATGCGACACCTCTCGTGGTAGTGATACCAGGATTAACAAGTGACTCTGCTTCCCCAGTGAGTTCTAAGATATTTCTGAACCATTTCTACACATGAAAACAGTGCTCAGTGCAACTATTGACATGCAACCCTCTCATTTTCAAAATTGCAATCTTAATTTTGTAAACACCAAATAGGACCAATTGAAATTCTCTTCTGTATAATTCCAATGACTCTCTAATTTGTATTATTATGATGCAATACAGTACCTAAAGCATCTTGCCTTCAACACAGCAAAATGTGGATGGAATGTTGTTGTCAGCAATCATCGAGGGTTAGGCGGTGTATCAGTCACTGTTAGTTCCCTTCTCCCCTACTGAACCTAGTTATTTTCTTTCATTTCAGAAGTATATCACGCCGAGTAACTTTGAAACAACTGGCTTCTTTTCTGGTATTTAGAAGACAATTAAAAATTTATGTTTTTAATACTAGGTACTGCCTCCGTTCTTTTTTAATTGCAACAGTTTGACTTTCACATTTGCCAAAGCACAACTTTGACTGTAATTAAATTTATACGTATTAATAAACATTATAGAAATTGAATATGCTGGAAGTTCACATGGAGAGGAATTTAATAATATGTTATACATAATAATTTGATTATATACATTAGTAGAAAATCATGGTCAAAGTAAGGTGTGTGAATACAGAATATTGCAAAATTCGAAGTGTTGCAACTATTAAAGAACGGAGGAAGTATAGTTTAATGCTTCAGTTTTACATCTGCTGTAACATAAATATCTATTGGCTAAATGTCGAATTCCTAGAAGGCAAGAGCAGAAAACTCGTAAATGAACTGCATTGAAACTGTACCCCACTTGACAATAGTGAAACATCACTTACTATGTATTAATGAATAATGGTTGGCTAATTTCATGAAGTACATGTCTTTGAAGCAGCTGTATCCACAAAATTTACAGAAGTACCAAATTACTATTTTATTTTCAATTCATCAACTCTTTTTATCATGGGAGTTGCTTTAAGATGCATGATACCCTTTTATGCCCATGCATATAGGGCTTCTATTTTCCATCTTTTTGTCCAATTGACACACTTAGCTATAACTGAATACAGTTGTATCTATAACAAGTCTAACAATAGTTCTAACAAACTCTACCAACTCACTTATACATTTATATTCCTAACAGTCCCAAAGCAAGCTCTGGCGTTTGGTTTATTGGTATCTACATGGGTACCAATGCATAGAATTGTGCATTCTATCTTTTACTCCGTACTTATTATGTTTATTCAGTCAATAATAGCATCTCAGTTACTTATTTGCTAAAGATTGAGCAGTAACGAGATTTGATTTTCAAATATGCGTTCTATCTTTTAGTAATAATGAATTGAATATGCACCTTTTTAATCCTTGAATGCAGTCCGATGCTCTTTATAACGCAGGATGGACAGAAGACATAAGAAATATCCTCAAGTATCTGCATAAGGAGTACCCAAAAGCTCCAATATTTGTTATTGGTACCAGTATTGGTGCTAATATTCTGGTATTGTTTGCTTTATTTGATCTCATAGTAAAGAGTAGCCATTTAGAGTTATCTCTCAATTGTTTGTATAAATTTTGAATGAATGGTAATCATTTTAGGCTCCTAACAAAATTTTAGAACAGTGAAACATTAGTTTTATATATATGTGCACTTGACATGCCATAATAAATACTTGATGGTTGCTGCATTAATTTCTTGATATTAGGTCAAATATCTCGGTGAAGATGGGGATAATGTTCCTGTTGCAGGGGCTGTAGCAGTGTGCTCTCCTTGGGATCTCTTGGTATGTTTTTAGTTTACAAGATATGTTGGTTTTGTTTCGTCATTATTGAATTAATTTTGGCATTTCGTTGACCAATAGACAAAGTAAATAATTCTTGCACCTTTTTAATAAAATTTCAGGTAACATAATAATTGCAAGTTACATCTCTAGGGTGATGGTATTACAATAAACATTTTTTTTCCTGTGCAGATTGGTTCTAGGTTCATATCTCGTAGGCTTGTGCAGAGGTTTTATGATAGGGCTCTTACTATCGGTCTTCAAGGTTATGCTCAAATGTAGGTTTGAATAATTGGTTTTATTCTAGCGTTGTTAGGTTTTTTGCCTCACCTGCAAAGGCCTATCAACTATGTGGAGTTTGAATAATGCTTTTAAAAAAATATAATAACATTAAACATTTTCTAGCAATGCTAGGTTTCTGACCTTACCTGCAAGCCTATGTATTGAAATAAGAGCGATGGGGATACATTTTTCTGGCTTTGTGTCTTTGCACTTGACCTATGAATATCAATTTTAGTATAGTTGATTAAAGATGAATACAATCCATTCTCATATGTAGTTGGATTTTTGTCAGGCATGAACATCACTATTCTCGACTTGCTAATTGGGAAGGGATTGTAAAGGTGACATTACACTGCTTTCCTTATTCTTTCCTTACACACCCTAACTAGACATTCAAGCTACTAGTAGACAGACATAAGCTTTTAATAGCTCACTTTATATCCTTCTTAAGTGAGAGCTAACATAAATATACAAGAAGCTAGCTTAAAAGATCGACACCACCCCAAATGACGTGGCAACACCGCAGTTATGTCTTTGCATATTAGTTTATAAATAAATACCCCCCCTCAACCAGTGACGTGATGACACCAAACTCATGACAAGTGTGTGTTGACAGTGGCAAAGACATAACTGCAGTGTTGCCACGTCATTTGGGGGGGGGGGGGGGTGTCGATCTTTTAAGCTTCTTGTATATTTATGTTAGCTCTCTCTATCCTAAAGAGTTATGTAGTTATTATCCCATCCTAGAACATAAGGGAAATTTTCTTCAAGGCTTTTTAGTGCGGATTTTCTGAAAACAAAAAAAGCAATTCATTTACCAAGTTGCTCATCAAGTGGGAGAGGGGGGTCATTTGTGTCAAATTATTCCAAAAGTTTGAGAGAACAGGCGAAATTGAATGGTAAAAGGTTGGTGTTGTTCAAATTAGGGAGGTGGACAACATGTTAGAAAAAAAAAACAAAAAAGACGTCATATGAAGTGTGGGATGGGGGGGCTATTATTATTTAAGCTTGTGCATTGATCAAGTGTTTAACAGGAATTGGCATCTTTTGATTCCTCACTGCTTCTTAGAGTTGAGAAAGAGTGAATTGACCACCAACCATATACCTGAAATGCAACCTCAATTATTATGTTCTAATTGTGAAATATAAAATATCATGATAACTTATAATTTCCTTATTATCCACATTATAAATTGTATTTTCAACAACACTTCGGTTTTCTTTTTAACCAGGGACGGACCGTAGTACAGACCCAGGGGGGCTACCGCCCCCCAACAAGAATTTTTTTTAGTGTATATATATATATATATATATATATATATATATATATATATATATATATGAAAAATAATTTTCTCCCTTCCAAAAATTATTTTGAACCCCCCAAAAAATATTTTCGCCCCCCATTATGACTTTCCTGGGTCCGCCCCTGTTTTTAACTGACATTGACATCGCCTGTCTTGTGATTCCTTGTTTTATGCAGTCACGCACAATACGTGATTTTGACACTCATGCCACCTGTCTTGTTGGGAAATTTGAGGTTATATCCCCCCCCTCGTATCATTCTCTCATTTTCTTCTTTGTAAAAACAATTAGACAATGAGGGAAGACTCTACAACTATCTCCTTATCTCATTTGGAATTCGTGTAGTTACTAACAGAGTTAAATAACAATTGCTTTGTCAAGACTGTGGATTCATACTATAGGTACTGCAGCAGTTCGGCTTATGTTGGGCGTGTTTCTGTGCCTCTACTCTGTATCAGTGCGTTGGATGATCCCGTGTGCACAGCTGAAGCCATTCCTTGGGATGAGTGCAGGTCACTTTTGATGTATAGATATAGGATTTAGATCCTCCACTGTGATGTTAATAGGAGGATTGGGACTAAAGTCTGTCAATGTTATGACCAATGTGTTTTTTTTGTCATTCTCAGGGCGAATAAGAATGTAGTTTTAGCCGTGGCAAAGCATGGAGGACACCTCGCCTTTTTTGAAGGACTTGCTGCATCTAGCTTGTGGTATTAATCACATTGTAACTTCAAAACGTTCATGGTTTCTTTAATAATATGGAGATAAAAACAAACGCCTTATGAGATTTGTTGGGGCAGTAAAATAAGTGCAAAGTGCATCATTTTTAGCAAGTAAATCTGAGAAGTGGACTTTATTTGCAGGTGGGTGAGAGCAACCAATGAATTCATTGGTGTTTTACATTCCGGTCCCTTCATGCACAAACCAAAGCAGCAGGTTAGTATTATTAGGTAGTGCTTAGTTTATTGCTTCCTTGCCAGATGTAACAAAAACTAACTTATTTGATTTAGTTGTATCAGCTCATAATAAAATACCGTGCAAAATCTTTTTTTAGAATTTAGTTCAAGTGACTGAAGTGCAGATATTTTTTGCAGTCGATTTTTTTGGACAATATTATTAAATTCAGTATTCAACCTTTTTAGCCAAAATCACATACTCCGTATAAAAAAAACTTTTTTTTGGGTACAGAGTACAGACATAACAAAAATATTATATGCAGAAAGAAAATCGCAACCTGCATTCTCAATCAATGGAGTGTTCGTCAATCGATCAAGGACCATACATTAACATGACAGATGGAATGGTTGCCCCAATGAAAAATAATGACCAAACATCAGAGATTGTTAAGGATGAAGAAGAAGAAGAATATGCGCAACGATTGAAGATCATAACAGCAGCATCACAGGGAGGTGCTGATGGAGGTGATGTAATAGAATCTGACAATTTAACTCCTGATTTGAGTGGTGATGATAGCAAGGTGGTCACTAGTAGCTTTGTGAAAAGTTGCGTAAGTCACCTAAGACAGCAGAGTAGGAGATCATTGTGGCTTCTTGCTTACATTGCGCTGGTGTCATCCTGGTCACTGGCAGCTCCAGCCCTTAGTTTCCTTTTTAAGAAAAGGGCCAAGAAAGTCATGCCTGCCAAACCCCACTAGAATTAGCCATGTCTCTTCTTCAAATGTAAAGTGTTATTGTTTTTCTACAATAATATAATATACTCCGTACATATGTATTATATGCCCCTCATTGTGGCTTATCATATACGGGGTATATACTTTTAATAAGCTCAAACTTTATAGAAGATCAGGGGTAAAAAACTAAAAATGCCATTATAATTGACATGAAAATTTCTTTATACTTTCTATAGTGCAGAACTGCAGATCCAAATACGTTATTACATAAAGCTGTATGATACAATTGATTTAAAAAAGCAACATTATAATCAATGTGGTCAAAACTAAAAAGTTTGGAGTAAATCTACAATCTGAAACACAAACACAATACCTAAATGAACAATTGTTAATTGCCTTATACAGTTATACAAGCTGAATGGAGCTCTCTAACAAACACCAACTATAGATGGGAAAGCATCAAACAGATAGGTTTTACAACTATGTGTTTGATGCTTTAACCCTTTCTTGTTCTTCATCTTCACCTTCCCACAATAATTTGAACTTGAGAATCTTATGAAGTTGGGTAATTGGCTTTACTTGCTTGCTTGATGTTTGCTTGGGATCTGCTATGCATTTCTCTGAAAAAAGGTTAGTTTCAGATGGGCCCGTCTCTTCATGAACCACTGGAGAGGTATCTGCAAAAAGTTCTTTATTACAACTTGCGAATACTTAAGGTAGTGAACATGTATCTGAAAATCATCTCTATGTCAGGTGCACAATGTACTCCAATATCTATAATAACTAAAATCATGGGAACCTGTATATATAAATTTAAATAAAATAAACTCTTGGATGCAATTATTACATACTAGTATAAAATAGTACTCCTATCCCGAAATGCAACATACATCTCAGTTTAGCACAACTTTAAGAAAATAAGGAAGATAATTTTTATTTTACAATTGTAACCTTTTAAAAGGAAAAGTAGCATGGATCCACAAAAAAGTAAAAAAATGACAGATAATGAAAGGGGTTGGGGAATAAAAAAGCTAGTATAATTCAAAGTAGAAAAAATTCTTAATTTTGAGAGAAACAAAAAAATTAAATGTACTTACCTCTATCCAACAAGACTTTGACAACTTTCCTTGTTTAGCTTCGCAAAAAGCTTTGTCACTTTCATTTACGCAAATCTTAATCACGTGATTTTAACTTTTTATTCCATGTGCAAGTCAACTTAGCAAAGTTTTATGGGACGGAGGGAGTGTAACATAATGGGACAAATGGAGTCATTTTTAAATAGAGGGGGAAACGTGCCTCCCAGACCAGCCAGTCCCTTTTGAGATCCACCAGTCCCATTGAGCGCTTGGCTCAGAATACCAACCATTAAAATGATGAGAATAGATTTGCACAGCACTAAATGCAACAAAACTCAACTTGAGGTGACCATATAAGCATAGTCAGACTATGAATTATGAAATGACAAATACTTCACTGTTTGGGAGGGGGTGAAATTTTAAGTTAATCCAATATTTCTAGAGCAAGACAGATGCAACAACAAAAGCTGCTGATTTTACAATAATATTTGCAATCACAGATCTTGAAGGCTTGAACAGATTCTACAATAGAGTCCTCTTTCAAGCACAAATCATTTGAAAATATTATTTTCAAATGATATTTGAACATCCAACCTTATAATAAAATGCAAACTAAATAAAATTCCACATTAGTTTGCAGCCCATTTTTCTCATCCCCTTAGCTTGTGATGGAAGTTAATATATGCAACTACATATATAAAATTGCATATACTGATATAAATATATGTTCAAGACTTCAAGTAGCATTTTGTTTAGCACATAGCTAATAAGCTTTAGTGGCATTATAAACATTACCCTTAAGATGTCAAAGATTATTACCAAGACAGAGAAAAAGTTACAAAAGTAATACTGTAGCTCACCACTTTCACTAAAAACAAGACAAGTCCCAATAGTCTCCACATATTCTCCAACCTGTGAAAAAAAGGGAATTGATTGAGTGGAGAATATTATTCAACAACAAACTATAGCACGAATAGAATTGAGCTTTATAATGATAGTCCTAACTCCCAAGGAGCATACTCTTTCTTTTTTGAGCTGAAGAGATGGAGGGGGCATAGAGCGTGAAAGCAACATTTTACAGAAAATTCATAATGCAGTGACATTGAATTTTCAAAATTCAATAAATACATGATTTATAGTAGCATGAAATTCTAAGAGCCCGTTTGGTAGCACAAAAATCGACTGATTTGGTTGATTCTGCTGAAATTTATGAAGTTCTGGCTGAAGTGGCTGCATTGGCTGATTCTGTTGTTTTATGAAAAAAATATTTTTAAAATATATTTTATTAATAAAATAAAGAAAAAGTTATATGTAAAAATAGTTAAGATGGTCCTCTACAGTAACTTCAGGCAATACAGCCAGAAAAGTAACTCCAACCTTACTTTTTCAGCTTATTACACGATTTAGCGCGCGAAAGTAAAAGTTACGTGTTAGGTGGAAAAGTTGGCCGATAAGCCTGAAAAAATAAATTATTATTCAAGAACATATTGATAAGATCATAAGAGTCAAAACCCCAGAGCTCACCAGCTTGAATTTTCCATCAATGTTCAAAATAGGATTCACAGTATCGAGGCCCTGCAACAATAATTAGTATGCCGAGAATTTAGAAAAATCAATACACATATAACATGATTCAGTATCAAGTAGTATATTTATGAATGAGAAAAAAAATCATACTGAAAGGATAAAAGGGGCGTTTTGGGGAATTGAAATTTGGTCCGAGACGCCATCCAGATCCATCAGTACATATTCTTCGTCTTCCGATTCCTGAATGTGGCCTTGCGTATTACTACGTTCCATCACTCCTAAATTCTAGGCGTTTCTCTTACCTTTACACATCACAGATAAGAAAAACATCCGTATAAGAAATCTATGCCAATTGCCCGTAAATAAACATAAAGGGTATTGTGTATGAATTGTGGTGGGACCCGTGATTTATCAATTTCATGGAAAATACAAAATTAAACAAGAAATATGTTAAGTAACATTCCTAAGTCTAAGAAGGCAACTACATAATTACATAAAATGATAAGAAAAAAAATTAAACAAATGTAATTCATCTAACAATCCGGGCGGAGTTCTACAAGAATAAATTAGGTCAAAGCATTCATGTTTATTTTCATAAAAGAAAAACTCAAAATCGGGAGGATGGCCAACACACTCAGTCTCATTATGATCCATTTTTTATATTACACTTGTCGATGAGTAAAAATGATAATCCTTACACAATTGTAACATGCATTGCTACTTGGGTTACGAGCATAGCTGTAATCTAATTTTTCTTCTAAGTTTGATATTATATTTTGTGCTAGCGGCTTAAGAATGAAAAATTATTATCACTTGTTTCATATTCTGTGTGCTTCCTTTTTAGACCATTTGGAGTGTTGTGAGAGTCTAAATGTCAAAAATGGACTCTGTCCATATGAAAACAGTGTTTTGACTCTTATTTCTCTGCATTCCAGCACCGTCAATAAAATACACTCTCATATTTTTTTACATATCAATTTAGTAAAACATTAATTAAATTATTATAAATAATGTTTTCCTTTTAATTTTTTCTCTGATTAATTATAAAATAAAAAAGATACATTTCGATGTGAAGATAAATAAATTTCATTAATTTTTTTAACTTTTTTTGGTTAACAAAAGATGAATTTAATTCAAGTAAAGTTTGATTATGGAGTATTCAATTATTTGTGAAGGCTCCATTAATTAAAAATTTGTGTTTCGTGTTTTTGGGGGCTCAAGAAAACTTCAACAGTTAAAACTTCAAAAAAAATCATTTTATACATTACATATTAGTGTCATATGAAAGATCATAAAGATTTATGAATTTTGATATATTTTTTGAAAAATTTGGAGAAAAAAATAAAAAAGTTATACTACGTATAAGTTTAAAAAAATGAGATATTATGATGCAAGGATGACATTTGCATGACACCATCAGCACAAAATAAGCAACCTTCCATCCGCTCTTTCTCTTCCTTTTTTCTTTTAGCCCCCCGACACTCTTCAAGTATACCCCATCCATCTCCTTCTCCATTTTTACTCCCCCATTTAGCCAACCACAACAAGGATTTAAGAGTCCAAAAATTTCACTTTTGACATTTTGGATTCCTAATCCTACGTGACTCCAAGTGGTCTTATGAAGGTTTAAACTTGGAGTTGCACATATGATCTGTATTCAAGACCTTGAGTCTATTTCCCCAACTAGCAAGCAGTACACCTAAAAGGACATATTGAAGCACGTTTGAACCAAACTCTGTCAGGCTCGTTCTTTACAAACAAATGTCCTTTTTTCTTGCTCAACATATTTAATCATTACATTCATGTCCTCGAATAGCATGCCCATTTCAATCACAAGAGGTTAGTTACAGGATGGATACCTGCACTTCATTCTTTTTTGGACCATTCTTGGTGTACACAAATTGTACACAAAATATGTACATTGTCTGTGTACACAGACAATTTGACATCAAAGACTGTCCCTTTTTAAATGAATTGTCTGTGTACACAGGCAACTAGGGAGATTTTATGTACAACTTGTGTACAATTCATATACACTAAGCATTTTCCTCCTTTTTTATTGGAAAACTCTATCTCCACCGCATGACTCTAATATAACACGGGGTTCGTGTAAAGTGTCCACAGGGTCTTTATGTTGAAGTTTCTGATGTGTTACCACACAAAATTGAGCTTCCTATATTAATTGTCTACAGTAAAATAGTAAATATCTAACTAATACTTCATCGGTCCCCCTAATATTGGGATGGAACTATGGAAGGGGGTGGTGTGATTTTTAAGAAAAATAGAATTATGTGTTTGATAACAAGTTGATAAAGTGTGAATAAAGTAAGACTGAATATAATATTGATACCATTGGATAAATCATAAAAAATTATCAAATCTCATATATATTTTTTATAAAAAATTGAACCACAAATATAAATGTTTTAACAATTTTAAGAAAAAAATTAGTTGGTATGCCAAATGGCAATGAAAGAAGCTAGGGGTTAATGTTCACACTCTTCAGAGAGGGTGAATAAAATAGGACTCCACATTCCCCTAAATCCCCTACATGTCATGAATAAAGTTTGTTTAAGATATCTTCCTAGGGTGTACAATTTTGTTAACGTCTTTTATGATGTACACTTGGTTATCTAAAAATATGTATGCATGATTGGATGAATTAATGTTTTTTCGTTGTTGGGGAATCAGGAGGGCGTGTTTAAACAAATACTCTAAGCACATCAAACTTTTTTTTGGAAGAATTTGACTTAAATTGAAATCTCAACATTTAGATGATGAGTAATCCGACAAGTAGAATCCTGACAACCGTCGTCCTGCGAACCAGACTCAGAGTTAATCACCTCATCAGAAGCAATATAACTCGTTGATCCATTAATGGGCACAAATGAGCCAAAAACGGTTACCCCAATTCCGTTGTCACCCACATCCAAAATCAACGTCTTACAAACTGGAATAATAAAGAAAAAGCAAATAACAAAACAGGCATAAAAATTACTGAAAAAATAAACAAAACAAATAAGATAAGACTTCTTCCAAACCCTAGATTTACTTGCTCTCCATGGCGACGGCTCAGAAGGGGGACGCGCTCGCCGCTTATCCGCCACAATCTCAACATCAGCTTCATCTAGATCTAGTTCTTCTTCCTCTGCCCCAATCGCCATCTTCTTGTATTTTTCCACGAAGCTGTCCATGTAAATATGTTGTTTTAACCTTTTGCGAGAACCTTGCCAAAATCCTCCTTGTGATGCCCTCATTCTTCCAATAACAACAACCTTCTCGGCACCGTACTTGCCTGAGCAAACAACACCGGACAAAACAAGCTAACAAGCTAGGCGTTGCCTGAGACGACAACCCTAGAGAAAGAAAGTTGAAAACGGCGTACTTGCTATCATAGTATCATACTATGAATATTTTTCTTCTAAGCACATCAAACTTATACTACGATCTGCAGATATATGTGTACTCGTAGCATCTTAATTTTTTATCTCATAATTATTGTTTCATGTAACAGACATATTATCATTGAATCATGTATTCATGTATAAGATCTATAAACTGAACCTTCTTACAAACTTACATGGTCGCCTATCCACAAAACCATCTTCATATTTTGCAAAAAGATGTTTTCTTTTGGACCATTTCCAGTCGCAAACGAAACCAGATCAAACTTCCACAGGTATGATATATAAAGACTAGCCATTTACCGGACCAAACCAGATCACCAGAACACCAGAACGGTTCAGACCAATAAATTTCAGTCCAAAATAAACATTCTTTTAACCCAAGACCGAATCGATCGTCTCTGATCTTTTAATGCAAGACCAGTCACCAGATCGATAGTCTCCAATCCTCAGTTTGCCTAACCCAAGACCTGCCAACGACCCCCAAACTGTTGCAGCAGGAATCAGATGGCCGGTCTTGTGGACCCATTTAAAAAACAGGCAGTGGTCCAGAATCTCCAGATAGGAACCATTAGAACCCCAATCTCTAAATGAGAAGATGTGGATATTCAGAGTGAAAGGTATAATTCAGATACTTTTGCAGTTTTGCTACATATTCAAATAAAACTGGACTTTCGAGACTTCGAGTGTTTAATACTCTCCAACTAAATAGAACAGTGCGAAACTAAAAAATATTACTCAACATGTTCCTTACGCAAAACACTAACCACGCATCAATCAAAAGAAACGAAATACAATGTTAGTACGAACACAATAAATACTTCGTACTTTACAAAATATTCGCTCGTATACACATAAAAAATGTGACGTAGGACTATCATTTCGTGAAGTTCAATTTGCAACAGTAAATAAATAATTATCCCTTTAACACAACTCTCTCTGAGGGCCATCATGGATGAAGCAGCATTCCCAAAGACGTCACCGTCATTGCATTATTTTTCCCTCCTTCAGACAGTTAACCCTGACTTTAGCCACCTCCAAAACCACACCACGACAATGACACTGGACCGGACCGACCCAAACTGACTGACCTGTGGGAGGTAAGCTGACCTGACCTGACACGACACAACCCCAGACACCTGACTTCTTCCTCAAGCTGCACTTGAAATTCCCCGACTCAACAACTCCTTCAATTGCTGTGCGGGAAAGACATCCAATAAAACCACTCTTGTTTTGAATATAGATAGAATAATAGGATATGGATCAAATGTGCTTGTTAAGTCAATAATTGATTTATTTAGTCATGAATGGACAAACATATTCCTACACATTTCTAGATACTACCTTCATTTTTATTAGTTGCACCTCTAGTTTTGTGCAGAGTTTAAGAGCCAAATAATACTCCGTAGTAGCAAACCATGTAGAATATTGAAAAAAGTGAGTCAGTTGGTCAAAAAGTAGAAAAAAGGAAAGACAAGATGATAAAATAAGGTTTAAGCTGGCAGATTGCAAATGGAGAAGTATTAAAAACCATCTCAAAAAGTTATATAAAGCAAGTGAATAAAAACAGAGTTTTTTTTGGAAGAATAAAAACAGAGTTTTAATTGAAAGAACACATAAGAAGTAAATGAAATAAATATCAGTTGGCACTTTTACTGTGTCTTACTTTAATAGATTGCTAAATGGCCAATTACTTGCTATTTTATGAACTTCGTGCATTTAGTTAATGGTCAGCTATTTGAGATCAGAGGGACTAGAATAGAGTAGGTGATTTATCCAGAAGCAACAACAAAGAAAAAGCATTGACCATAAATTAAGTGAGAAACATGAGGCAAATAATCAGCTCTGGTATAAACTTACACTCAGCCGAATTTGAATCCACCAGCAGGGACATGAACATCATTTCCTCCAAAGTTAAACCCAGTCTGAGTTGTTCCATCGCCTGCCTCCGGCAAAGCACCCTCCTCCTCCTCATCTAACCAATACGTCTCCAGTATTTTAACCGCCTTCTCATAGATTTCAGTGTTATCATGACTCTGTAGGTTTTCAATTTTTTCTAACCCCTCGGCATCATCAATCAGCTGTGAATAGTAATTGATGCCATCATTCTCTGCCTTTTCTCCCTCACCTGTCTTCAATATGTTTTCTAGACCTTCCAAACAGACAGTTACTATCCTTGGATCCGGGCAAACAAGGAGGTCACACAGAGGTTTTATGCAACCCTGACTAACAAAGAACCTAAACATTCACATATAATGAAAACGTTAATATGAAAAAACAAATACTATCCTCCGTTCCATAAAAGTTGCAACAGTTTGACTTTCACGTTTGCCAACGCGCAACTTTGACTGTAATTATATTTATTTACGTATTAGTAAACATTAAAAAAAGTTAATATATTGGAAACTTACATTAATATAAATTTATTAATATTTTATACATAATATTTTTATTATATATATTATTAGAAAATCGTAGTCAAAGTAAGGTGTGTTAATAGTGCAGAAATTCCAATGTTGCAACTTTTATGGAACGGAGGAAGTAAAACTTAATAAAACAGGAACACACATAAAAGCAAGATGGAATCTCATACTTAATTTGGTCATTGGTTCCACCAGAAGTAGCATTTGATATAGCCCAAGCAGCTTCTTTCTTGATATCAAATTCCGCGTGTTGAAGCAAACTCACTAGAGGGCCAATCAATCCAGCCTCAATCACAGCCTGTATCTGGACCCTGTTCCCAGCAGTTATATTGGAAATAGTCCAGCAAGCTTCTTTCTTTACACTCTTTTTGTGATTATGAACCAACAAACTCAGCAGACAGGGAAGTGCACCACAGTCAATTATACACTGAATGGCGACAACGAATGTTAGATTAATCAGATTATATATGTTAAGGACTTCGATAAAAAGTTCAGAATTAGTTTAATGTCAAAGTAATAATTTGTTACGAAAGCAGGTATAAGCTTGGAATGTCCGAAAACAAAAAGGGCAGGTGTAACCTATGGGGGAACACGGTGTATATAAATGAAAAGTGAAAACAAAGGCAGGTGTAACCAATGGGGGAACACGGTGTATATAAATAAAAAGTGAAAACAAGGAAGAGTGTACTTGGGGGCAGTAAATAGAGCAGAAAGGTGCAGATAGTATTTTACACTAAAATGAGTGGATTAGGCTTTATTTCCCTGTGTTCCCCCTTATTTCACCCCATATTTATCTACCAATTCACTACAATTCAAATATTTCCTCTCTATTTCTCTTCAAACAAACAACTACTATTCCTCGCTCATTTCTCTTATTTTCTTTCACGCCACGCTCACAAACTTAATATGACAAGCATAGGATGCCATGTAAAGTCAAGAAGGAAAAATTCAAATAAGCATACTTTTAGCTGTGAATCAAGTATGGAATGGAGCAATTGAAATGGTAAAAAAAAAAATCTCTTGAATACCTGAGTCTGGACATCATCTCCTGTAACAATATTTCCAACAGTACGAAGTGCAGGAATGAGTACTGAAGGAGATGGGTGACTGAAAATGAAAAAATATTGATGTGTTATATTCTGTTAAAAATGAGAATAATAATAATATCAACTTCCTCCAATTTAAAAAAAATATCTCCTTCAATGAACTCATACATAACCACTTTGTTCGTAGTTTTTCCACAACAATTAAAAGTAATATTGTAGGGGTAGTGCATACTGTAGGAAAAGGTGGAAAAAACAGGAGAGAAAAGTTAAGGAAGAAAAGTGAAGGGGTGATAACAATTAAGGATGTTTAAGCCTTTTGATATGAACGTCATTTGATATGATGGAAGTTGCAAAAAATGGAAAATCAAGCAATTAATAATAAACTTCTATAGCAGAATGTAGAGAAAGTAAAAGTGAATAAAGTTCCTATTAAGGAACAACTTACAATACCAATATTCCCCAACAATTAGTAACTAAAGCTAGTGGATGAATTCACATATATTACGAGACAACCTGAAAACCCAATATTTTCTTACATATAAGTAATTATTCGTAGTGACAAAAACCATTAAAATGCATTCACTGGGAAAATTAGAAAACCTATGCGAAATTGGACTGAAAATGAGTGTACACCTAGACTATGTTAAAGAACATTCATATTGCAATAAAGTACAGCTTCAAGACATCAACCATTACCAGCCAAACTAAGCAGGAGTGGCATTAGAAATAGTAGTACCAATAGTAGTAATTATCAATATGAAAATACATACTCCATCTCCTTTGATCTTCCTACTTTCTTTTTCAGTTATCCCAAAATAATTTTCCTTTCCCGTTTAAGTAAATATAAACAGGTCATATTATTATGTTCCATTGTACATAAATTTCAAGCGCACAATGTCCATTTTCTAAAACTCTGTTCCTAGTTAAACCCAGAACTTTACAAGGGAGAGGGAGGGAGCAATAATAATAATAATAATAATAATAATAATAAATGTAAGGAATGAAAAAATCTAAGAAAATCACTTACAGAAGAAGCTCAACAAGCCTTGGGCAAACACCTGCCTCAATCACAGCTTGAATTTTGTCATTTGTACCGTCAGAAAGGTAAGAGAGTGCCCAACATGCATCGGTCAGAACCTCTTCGTCATTTGCATGAACAAGGCCCTGCAAAGCTGAGAGTGCCGGCTTCACCTAAGAAATAAATATCTCTCAATAAAATGTAGACCATCTATTAAAAAAATTAGAGTGTTCCCCAAACAAATAATTATATTCATGAAGGAACAATCCAAATACCTGCTCAAATGGAGGCTGTGGCTTGCCTCTGCAGAAATTTGATAAAGTCCATGTAGCATTTCTTAGCATTGAGAGCTTTGCATTCTCATTCAATTGTGACAGCAAAGGGATCAAAGCCCCATGGCCAAGGACAAGATCACGGCACTTAGGAGAGTCACCAGCAACATTTCCCAATGCCCAGACAGCCTAAAATCTCAAAAAAGAACCGTTAACTGAAAATTAAACAAAGGGACTGCTTTGTAGGAAATTTCCAGCTTCATATTCTTAAAAATGCTAACTTACTTCAGAGCAAATCGGTTGATAATGAATGAAGTAGTGAATAAATAACTTATTTAAATAATGACAAAGCCATTTCAGCCTTCATTTGGGACCTACTTTCTTAACCATATTTAAATGAGCAATTTAAATAATTACGATTGAAAATTCGGCCAATTCAACGAATATTTAAGGAGGTTCAGCTGGTTCAGCCATCTTCGGTCATACAAAATGGTCTCTAACCAAACATGGTGTAAGAATGGCAAATATACCTGCTCACGAACGTCATCGCTAGGGGAAGCCAAAAGCTGGATGAAAATTGGGACAGCCCCATGATCAATAACCACTTTGGTATTCTCTGAGGTTCCAGAAGCAATGTTTGTGAGTGCCCAAGCCGCCTCAAACTACACAAAAACATTGATGTGTATGATAAAACCAACAGCTAAAACACAACTATGCAATAGAAACAAGATTAAGGATTTCATGAGTAACTTACTTGAAGTAGTGGTATTCCACTACTGAGAAACTCAACAAATCGAGGGACCACCCCAGATTGTATAACTTCCTCAATAGGAGGACTTCTTTCTGGCAATTCAATAGCAAGATGGATAAATAGTAGTGAAAATAACATTTCTTAACCCTAGTTATTTTGTAATAATAAAAGCAATGCATACCAATCGAGAGCAATTTCCGGATATTTGCAGTAGCCTCAAGTTGCAATTCATTATTATCTGACCAAACAGCTTCTACTATTCTAGGAAGACTCTCTAGCTGCAATTCAACAATTATGAAATTCAAATAGTCATCAAATTAGCAATCATTCAAAGTAGCTACTCAACTGTGTGGGATTGAAAATCTGTATTTGGTCTGAGCAGCGAAATCCAAATAATCAAGGGAGTGTACTTTTTATCTTTAACTAAAACTAAAAAAGCAGTGAGTTTTCTTTTCAATCAACGGGTTAAAAGTAGATTGTAACCTCAACATAAGCACTGACAAAATTTGAGGCTCGTTAGTAAAAAACAAACATGAAACTACATCGCCTTTATTAAATAAGACAAAAATGAAAAATCCAAACTTAACAAAGTGAATTGGGAATACTAATGGACTGCTTGTATGCATAAAAAATTAAATAAATCGAGAGCAAATACCTTCTTGTCGAAGGTGGACGTGGGGATGGAGGTAGAAAAGGGTTGTCCTTGAAGCCCATCACGGCGCTTCTTCAGCAAACTCTCCTCGCGTTTACTTTTTCGGATCTCCACCATGTTGTCCTCCCTGCGACGACGGCCTTCCTCAGCGTCCACCGCAACTTTGTACTTGTTCCGGCGGCCCTCCGCCCTTTCACTCGGCCTTAGCGACATCGTCCTGTCTGATCCAACAATCCAAAATTTTCAGTGCGATGGGGAAAACTGAGGTACCACTAAAATGGATTCTGGTATATAATTATATATACACACACGCACAAGTAGAGAGGGTGATTTACAAACACCTGACTCGAAGATGTAGAGTGGAAAAAGAGAAGAAACGGTGAAATCTAGGGTAAAGGAGATCCTAACCCGAACAGAATATGTGATTTTAAATTCTAAAGGTGTTTGGATCTAATTCTTAAAACTTAAGTCGGAGTATTTTTGTGAAAATGCAGAAGTGATTCTGATGCTCTAATTTACTCCTAGAATCAGTTTTTTAGAAATTGAGGGTACCAGCTTCTGAAAACTGATTCTGATTCTACTTCTGCTTTAAAAAAAGAAGCAGAAGCAGAAGCAGAATCAATTCCAAACTAAAGTTACCATTTGTGAAATAACTAAAGTTATACGGTACTCCGTACTTCCTAGTTAAATTGTCTGAATTTATAATAAAATTATTAAAGAATTACGGAGTAATTAATAATTTACCATAACAAATTAATAAAATATAGAAGGATTCAATGAGATCACATGATTAGTCCTTTTAAAAAATTTAATTTAACTACTCCATAAAAAAATTAAAACTTTACTTATTTTAATTATTATAAAATTTAATATGTTAAATTATAGTTTAATTTTATTATTTGTTAGAAGGAAGACCGAAAAAACGGATAAACTAAAAAGGTTATCAAAAGGACCTTAAACCACTGCAACTACAATTGTTTTAGTTAGGAGCTGGGAGTTCTAATTTTTAATTTATTATGTATTAAATTTTTTATATTTATAATTTCAGTTTTTAAAATTGAATAAGTAACATCCCTCCTTATTTTATTATCTAAAACATATTTCTTTTAGTGAAGTATTTTATTATCTATGATATTTCCATCTTTTTTAAGTTTTACCTTACTATTTATCTTTTCTTTCATTGGTTTTCTACATTATAAAGTATTTAATAACTAATACGTAGTATATGTCTAAAATAAAAATAAAAGATTTGAAACTTTATTGCTCTAGTGTTTAAATTCAATCTCCTGTATCTAATTAAATCTATTGTGGAGATTACATTATTGTACATCTTCTCAGTTAACTGTCCCGTCGGTGTTGAGGGTCTTAGCGATGGAACATCATGTGTTTTTATATTAGGGATATTACACTTTATTTAAATTCAAAATAAAAGATTCTAAATTTTACTCCTCTGCTATCATGGTGCCATCCCATCGACCTTTTTAACCTCATTAAGTAGAGTATTACTCCTTAAATTAGAAAAGTAATACAATTTTATGTATTACCCAGTATTTGTCTACCACCACTTTTTATATAAATGTTGTTTCAAAAACAAAATACTGAACAAGAAATCAATTGTAATTATACAAATATAAAAGATTGGTACCAAATCTTGAATATCAGAAAAAAAGATAGAGACAAAATACTCGATTAACCTTGTATTTAATAAGTTAACAACATTTTTCCAAACAAAAATCACGTTTTACTACTACACACATAAGAATTCAATTCCTTACTACCATGAAGCTTCCTCCATGTGCAAGAATGACAAGGGGAGCTTCCATACACCTAGGAGGCTAGGAGTGATCTTCCTTTCAACCCTCATATTTAATCTATCTTCCTCCCACCTTCCTAGCACTTAGTTTTGGTGCTATAAATAAAGAGCTTGGAGAATCTTTCTATCATCAAGTAAATTAGATCATAGATCATTATAACACAACCAAGTTTGAGTTGTGAATATCCTTAAGAGATATGTGAGGTGTTTTGAGTGTTTTTAGTTAGAGATTGTATGTTTCTTCCTTCTATTCTTGAAAGTAATAGAAGTATTTTTCTCTCATATTAGCACGATCCTGTTATTCCCAACAAGCGGTATCAGAGACTGGTTGAGCTTTTGATATTTTTCCCCAGAATTTTCAGATAAAATTCTATTGTCTGAAAATTCGTGTTTTTCAGTTTTGCTCGGAATTGCAATCTGAATACGCTGTTGGATTCGTCTCGTCGAGAGGAGAAAACTGGTATTTTTGTGGATCTTTTTGGCCACCGGAAGCCACCGTACGCGCCGCTCAATCGTAGGCCGGAAGCTGCCTGCGTCATCATGCACAGTACGCGCATGCAAGAGGTTGAAGATGGTTGACATCATCGCTGACGTCATCAGCTAGTCAGAGTCGTGTCAGCGACACGAGTGCAGTTCCCGCCACGTCATCCGACACATCATCATTCCAATATCATCTTCCATCGGTGCCCAGTCAGCTGCCACGTCAACGCCACATCTTTGCCACGTCACCTGCCACGTCACCGGACAGTTTTTATATTTTGAAAAATTACAGTTTGGTCCCTCAATTTGTGGAAAATTATAATTTCCACCTATCATTTTTCAAAAATTATATTTTGACCTCGAAGTGTCTACCACACCATTTTCGGCCGTTCCGGACACAACGGTGCTGCCCGTTTTTCAAAATTCTACTCCGAGTTTTCTCAAATAGAAAATCAAAATTATTTAGAAGGTGAAAATGACCTTTGACGAGTTAACTTCATCTTTCGGAGCTATGATTATGCTCACGGCTACCAACTACACGCTATGGAAACCTCGGATGGAAGATTTCCTTAGCTGTAAAGACCTTTTTTATCCAATCGAGATGAAAGGTATTAATCCTGACTTGTCAAAGTTAATGGAGTGGAAGAAAATTAATAGAAAAACTATTGGTCAAATCTGACAATGGACCGACCATAGTGTCTTCCACCATGTTGCACAAGAAACCGACACGTATGCCCTTTGGAAGAAGTTAGAAGATATGTACCATGCCAAGACCGCTAGGAATAAGGCCCTACTGATGAGGCGCCTTGTCAATATGAAGCTCAAAAGTGGAACTTCTGTTGCCGAACATACTAGTCAGTCTCAGAGTCTGGTAAATCAACTATCTTGTGTAGAAATGCCACTTGGAGATGAAATGTAATCTCTACTACTTCTTAGTTCCCTTCCTGATAGTTAGGAGACACTTGTTGTCACTCTCAGCAACTGAGCCCTAGATGGCAAACTTACCATGTCTGTGGTCAAAGATGCTTTGTTCAATGAGGAGGCAAGAAGGAAAGACATGAGCACATATCAGACTCATGCCCTTGTGATGAAGAATCGAGGAAGACCAAAAGGAAAGCAACAAAGAAACAGTAGAGGAAAGTGGCAAAGTAGAGGCAAAAGTCGGGGGAGATCATCAGATGACCGAAAACCTTCTTATACCTGCCACCATTGCGGTATAGAGGGTCACATGAAGAAGAATTGCTACAAATTGCTAGAGAAGCGAGGGAAGAGCAATTCACAAACGAAGAACAAGGGTGGTGAAGCGCTCATCACAATCTCAGGTGATGTAGCGTATTGTACTACCAATGATGAAACATGTCTGCACGTTTCAAGAGAGGACACTGAATGGGTGGTAGATACTGCAGTATCTTACCACGTTACTCCCCACATGTACTACTTCACAACTTACAAAGCTAGAGACTTTGGAGCGGTGAAGATGGGTAATTCCAGTTCATCTGGATTAGCTGGAATCGGTGATGTACAAATAAAGACAAGTAGTGGGAGCACAATCACTTTGAAGGATGTCAGACATGTTCCAGACCTTCGACTCAATCTCCTGTGAGTGGTATGTCTTGACGAACAGGGGTATGAAAACCACTTTAACAGGGGCACATAGAAAATGTCAAAGGGCGTTTTGACAATCGCAGAGGACATGTGTAACACCCCGGCCCCGTAGGCCCCGAGGTAGTTACTTCTGACCTCTAGTACTATCCTCACAAACCGCCATTAGCCTTTTCTGCGCACTTTGCCCTCACTCGTGTGCGCCCTGAGAAACTTCCCAGGGGGTCACCCATCCCAAGACTACTCCCCTGTAAGCACGCTTAACTTTGGAGTTCTTTGCTAATGAGCTCCCTTAAAAGGAGATGCACCTTGTTGGTATGAGTAGTACTATTAATCCTCTTAAATTAATCTCAGGTATTACAATCACCCCCACTTAGGAACGCAACGTCCTCGTTGCGCGCCCATAAACCAATCTCAATCATATCCCAGAATCTTTTCCCCTGTTAAGTGTCCGCCCGATATCCAACGGATCATCACACTGTCGCGGGGTTGCTCTGATACCATTTGTAACACCCCGACCCCGTAGGCCCCGAGGTAGTTACTTCTGACCTCTAGTACTATCCTCACAAACTGCCATTAGCCTTTTCTGCGCACTTTGTCCTCACTCGTGCCCACCCTGAGAAACTTCCCAGGGGGTCACCCATCCCAAGACTACTCCCGTGCAAGCACGCTTAACTTTGGAGTTCTTTGCTAATGAGCTCCCTTAAAAGGAGATGCACCTTGTTGGTATGAGTAGTACTATTAATCCTCTTAAATTAATCTCGAGTATTACAACATGTTTGTGGCACATTGTACAAAACCCATTTGAGGATTTGTACGGATAGTCTCAACATTGTTGAGGATGCTTCTCAGGATCTGTGGCACCTGAGACTCGGTCACATCGGTGGGAAAAGGGTTGACTACCTTGATAAAGAAGAACCTTATTAACATTGACAAGAATACTGCACTCGGTCCTTGCAGAGTTGCAGTCATTGTCTATTTGGTAAGCAACATAGAGTATCATTTAGTTTTACTTCAACTAAAAGAACGGAGTTGTTAAGTTTGGTACACTCCGATGTCTGTGGTCCTTTGGAGGTGGAATCACTCGGTGGAAGCAGAAATTTTATGACTTTTATCGATGATGCTTCTCGGAAAGTGTGGGTGTATTTCCTCATAACAAAAGATCAGGTGTTTGAGTGCTTCAAGACATTTCACATCTTGGTGGAACGTGAAATAGGAAAGAAGCTGAAATGTCTCCGATCTGATAATGGAGGCGAGTATACTTCCAAGGTATTCGATGCATGTTGTGGAACATATGGCATTCGACATGAGAAGTCAGTACCATGCACCCTTAGCACAACGGTGTTGCTGAAAGAATGAACCGGACTATCATGGAGCGAGCCCGGAGCATGCTGAATATGGCTAAACTTCCAAAGTCATTTTGGGAAGAAGCAGCCAACACCGCATGTTATCTTATCAACCGATCACCTTCAGTACCACTCAACTTTGAAATTCCAGAGAGGCTATGGACAGGTAAGGATCCTACATACTCACATCTTAGAGTATTTGGTTGCTCATCATATGCACATGTATCCAAAGAGCTCAGATAGAAGCTTGATGCAAGAACTATCCCATGCATTTTCGTTGGCTATGGAAATGAAGAGTTTGGATACAGGTTATGGGATCCTAAGGAGAAAAAAGTGTTCAGAAGCAAGGACATTGTGTTCCATGAAGATTTGACAATAGAAGACATTGAAAAACTCATAATGTCTCGGAAGTCAAATGAGGTTGCTCAAGTTTCAAATGAAGCACCTGAACTATTCTTGAGAAACAATGACGGAGTTCATGAAAACAGCTCAGAAGCATAAGAGGATGAGGAGACAAAAGAGAGTGCAGAGCAAGGGGAGTCACAACCCACTTCGCCAGGTACAGATGATGGTAGCTCTTCTCAGATGGTTCCAACTGTTCATAGATCTGAACGAGGCTATATACCACCGAAAAGGTACACATCATATCCCATCTGAATAGATTTTCTTAACTGAAGATGAAGAATCAGAGAGTTTTCAAGAAGTTGTGTCTCATAAGGATAAAGAAAAATGGCTAACATTAATGCAGGATGAGTTAGAATCTCTGCAGAAAAATCAAACTTATGAGATCGTGGAATTTCCTAAAGGGAAGAACACATTGAGAAACAAATGGATGTTCAAGTTAAAGAAGGATGCAACCGGACAAGTGGTGAAACACAAAGCTCGGTTGGTTGTCAAAGGATTCCAGCAGAAGAAAGGAATTGACTTTGATGAGATCTTTGCACCAGTTGTCAAGATGACCTCAATCCGAGTTATACTTGGCTTGGCAGCACGTATGAACTTTGAACTTGAACAGATGGATGTGAAGACAACATTTCTTCATGGAGATTTGAAAGAAGAAATCTATATGCAGCAGCAAGAAGGTTTTGAGAACTCAAATGATAACTTTGTGTGTAAATTATCTAAAAGTTTGTATGGCTTGAAGCAGGCACCAAGGCAGTGGAATAAGAAGTTTGACTCATGCATGAAGAGTCAAGGCTACAAGAAGACTACTGCAGATGAGTGTGTATACATCAAGAAACTTCCAGATAGTACCTTCATTGCTCTTTTATTGTATGTAGACGACATGTTGATCGTTGGGAAAGATGCAGTGAAGTTAAACCAACTGAAGAAAGAACTCTCTAAGTCTTTTGATATGAAAGACTTAGGACAGCTCAACAGATTCTTGGGATGCAGATCACTCGAGACAGGAAGAATCACAAGTTATGGCTATCTCAGGAGAAGTACATTGAACGAGTACTTGAGAGATTAAACATGAATGATGCCAAACCAGTTAGTGTTCCATTTGCGAATCACTTCAAGTTGAGCAAAAGAACATGTCCCACATCCAAGGAAGAGATCGGGGAGATGTCAGCAGTTCCATATTCTTCAGCAGTTGGAAGTTTGATGTACGCCATGGTTTGCACAAGGCCAGACATCGCACAAACAGTGGGTACAGTGAGTCGTTTTCTCTCTAACCTCGGGAAGGAGCAATGGGAGGCAGTCAAATGGATTTTCAGGTACTTGAAAGGTACTACGAAGTTATGTCTTTGCTACGGAGGAGTTGATCCAGTCTTGGAAGGCTACACAGATGCTGATATGGCTGGAGATATTGATAGTAGAAAGTCTACTTCAGGATATATCTACACCTTTGCAGGGGGGGCTGTTTCTTGGCAATCAAGATTGCAGAAGTGTGTCGCTTTACCTACAACAGAAGCAGAATACATTGCTGTCACTGAAGCAGGTAAGGAAATGTTGTGACTAAAGCGCAGTTTCCAAGAACTTGGGATCCAGCAGAAAGAGTACAAGGTACATTGTGATAGTCAAAGTGCTCTAGGCTTGAGCAAGAACTCTATGTACCAATCTCGTACAAAACATATTGATGTTCGGTATCACTGGATACGGGAGACGATTGATCAACAACTGTTGAGACTAGTGAAGATCAACATCAAGGAGAATCCATCAGACATGCTGACCAAGGTGGTGACACGAGATAAGCTAGAGCTATGCAGAGACATAGTTGGGATGCTTGTTTTGAATATGCCTGGAAGGGGAGAATTGAAGAATTCAATTTCCAGGACATATCCAAGTACAAGCAAATCGAAGAATATAATTCCTTACTACCATGAAGCTTCCTCCATGTGCAAGAATGACAAGGGGGGCTTTTATACACCTAGAAGTGATCTTCCTTCCAACCCCCATGTTTAATCCCATCTTCCTCCCACCTTCCTAGCACCTAGTTTTGATGTTATAAATAGAGAGCTTGGAGAGTCTTTCTATCATCAAGTAAATTAGATCACATATCATTATAACACAACCAAGTTTGAGTTGTGAATATCCTTGAGAGATATGTGAGATGTTTTGAGAGTTTTTAGTTAGAGCTTGTATGTCTCTTCCTTCCATTCTTGAAAGTAATAAAAGTATTTTCCTCTCATATTAGCACGATAATGTTATTCCCAACAACACATGGTCAAAAATTTATTTCCATCCCGCTATGAGCACATTGCACTTATTTTCGTTGCCTCAGGCCCTCAGAACGTGTAGTTTCTCTAATGAGGGGTGATGGAAAGAGGAAAACATTGTTGTGTTAAATAAAAAATGCAATATTATTTAAAATCAAGTCCAAATCATAAATATTGTCTAAATAGAACAAGCTTTGTCTCGCCATCGTGGCATTAGAATTAGAATTAACAAACAACTTTGTGACTAATTTTTACACCTACCATCCTAAAATGAAGAGCCTGTTTGGTAGCACGAAAATCGGCTGTTTTGGCTGATTATGCTGAAATTTATGAAGTTTTGGCTGAAGTGACTGCATTGGTTATTTCTGCTGATTTAAGAAAAAATAATTTTAAAATATATTTTATTAATAAAATAAAGAAAAAATTATATGTAAAAATAGTTAAAATACTCATCTACGGTAACTTCAACCAATACAGCAAGAAAAGAAGCAAAAGTTACGTGTTTGGTGAAAAAGTTGGCTGATAAACATAAATGCCTGATAAGCTGAAAAACAGTGTTGTCAAACGGTCTCGAAGTTTAAGATGCTTTATTGAGTATAAAATTAACTTTTCTCTAATAATATTAAAATGATTATAAATATTAAATAATTGAAATTTTAATACTAGTAGTTGTTAGAAATTTAACGAAATTAATATTGAATACCAAAATTAAATACAAACTACAAAAAAAACATTTTTAGATTTGTCACAAATTTTTGGCGGGGCTCATGAGCTTTTGTACGGATTCACATGCTATTACCAAATCTGTGTCATCATCTTTTTTAAACCCATTTTATCACAAAGCAATTAGTACCGAGACAAAAAAATACTGTGCATATTCATGACAAAACTTGTCGCGCTTGTTATTCTTTTTAATTGTATACGAAGTATATAATAGTTCGATGTATAAAATCATATGTTTTGTTTTCTTGAAGATGGAAATAGTAGAATTGAGTTGAACATCATTTTGAAACGATAGTATTATATTTCAACTAGTAATTTCAAATTTGGCATAGGCTGTGTAGTATTTCGTATAAGATATTGATTGCTGCAGTATCAAAATGAGGAACTAGAAACTCTGTATACAAAATTATTCTACTACATTTGTATAACGGGCAATATCTGAGAGCTATAGTCCTAGTTTTATCTAAAAAGATTAGTCTTCAACTCTTCATATGTAGAACTGTACAAAACAGGGTTGGACTGGCCCGGGCCGAACCGGCCCGTGAACCGGACCAGCCCGCTACTGTGCGGGCCCGGACCAAACCGGGACCGGATGGCCGGTTCCGGGCTTTAGCCCGGGTTGGGCGGGCCTGGCAGGCCGGGCTCGAGCCCTGTTTTTCTTGAACCGGCCTGGGCGGTCCAGGCCGGGCCCGATTCATTTTTGGTTTTTTCATTTTTTTTCTTTTCCTAGGGTAGGGCTGGATGTTTTGGGGAGGTTTGAGGGGTGGGGGTGAGGGGGGTTGGGGGTTAATTAGAAAGCAAAAAAAACTTTGGACCGACCCGGCCCGGTTTGGCCCGGACCCGGTATCTACCCGAGCCAGTTCCGGGCCCAACATCTAGAAAAAAAGCCCGGCTTGAACCAGGCCCGGTCCATGCCTATGTACAAATGGGCTGAAAACCAGGCTAGGCTTGCACCCCAAATCTGAAACTAGTTAACGAAATCTGTGTTAAAATTATTCAATCTGAATTAGACTACACTCGACTCGTGTCGATGCAGCCCTTGGAAAATATTCTAGGTCTGCAACTGTCTGTTGGGTTTCTCAAAAGATCAACATGGAGCATTATCATTGATGCAAGAGGAAATTGTAACACAATAGAAGGAAGAGATGATGGAACTTGATGAGATAGACAAAAACCAAAAGAAGAAAAAACAATTGGCAAGAAAGCAAGGCAAGATATAGAATATCTTGCAACAAAGGTTGCTTAAATTTCAGATATTCTAACTCAACGGGCGATAGCGCGAAGAACTCATAAACTTACTTTATTCATAATCAATGAAAGAGGATAATGTACAAGACCGTTATTAAGATTTAAGGGCCGGTTTGGTAGTCATCTAACTTATTGAACAAAAGCAGTACCTCAAACCGAACACTGCTGTTCAGAAATATCAACATAATTAACTCATTCAGCAAAATCCTCACCAAATAGGTCCAATTGTCCAAAACTTCAACCAACTACAGTATATTCCTTAACCAACACACTTAGAATTCAGGGCTTCAGGCAATAAGTTTTAAACTTACAGGGTACGGCTTCATTCGGTAGCCTTATCTGGCTCATTTTGTAGAAATGGTCCAAATGGTTTTACATGACGCTTCTCTGGTTAGAGAATTCGGCAAATTGAGACCATCATTTCAGCCAAACGGGCAACCTAGTATCTGACACTTTCATGAAAGAAAACATTTTATAGCTGCGAAATGCAATATTTGACACTATTTCATGAAAACATTTTATAGCTGTCAAATGGTGGAAACCAATTAAACAAATTCAATACTGCTCAGATATATATAAAAAAATTACAGTAAACAGGCTATAAAATTTAGAAACTGTAAAAACAGCAAATTCAGTGTGTATGTATACATAGGCTGTACAAGTTTGTTTCTCCTCAACTTTGATAGTAAACAAAATTTTTGAGGTCATCGAAGATCTACTACATCAAATTGCAAGTTTGCATTCATATACACATGAGAACAATGTTCATAGATGGGGCTTCCATCTTCGGGCTCTTCATGAGGATGGAAACCACGCTCTTGACAGTTTCTAATTACAGATACACCACTGGGATCAGACAAATGAAAAATACCATGAGGACTGCAACAGCAAGCAGCAACCAGCAAAGTGTTAGTACGGATGTTTAAATTGCATTTCTGAAGTCAGAATGTATTTAATTGGGCCTAACTCCTCCAAAAAGACTGAAGAGGTAAGATTACTTCATACATAGATATAAATCTGATAAACATCCCATGTAGGATATTTAGCATGCCTCTCAATGCAAACCGGACGAGACAACTTGAGGGTAGATATATAGTCATATTGATCCCAACAAGCTAATAAGCTAAAATTAAAACCGGACTAGGCTCTCATACCATACTCCCCGAGTCCCATAAAACTTTGCAACTTTCCTTATTTAATCGTCCCAAAAAACTGTCATTTTCATTTAAAGTAATAAATATAAGGGAAAACTGTCAATTACATCCTCGTACTATGGGCGAACCCTCAATTGAGCCCTCCTACTTTGAAAACCTTCAATTGAATCCGCGAAGTCTCCAAAATCAATCAATTAGGTCTACATTACCGGTTGGTTCCCGGTTTGCCCGTTGCTTGCCTTCCTGGCGCTGACGTGGACTTTGCCTATCGGTCTTCCTGGTTTATGATTATGATGATTAATTATTTACTATAGTTAAAGAAAAGCTATGGGTTGCACCAGCTCGAAGCTCGATGACTTGCCGGCGGTGTCCCTTTGTCGGGACCGCTGCTCTTCGCCAGCGCTTCGCCATGGCCGAGGCTCACGTAGCTTATGTTCACTCTCTTCAGTCTGTCGGCGTCTCTCTGCACCGTCTCTTCAGTCTGGATCTCGACGATCATTCCTCCCCTGCAGCTGCCGACGACGATGACGACGGACCCACCTCTCCGGTTCACAAAGCCGTCAAGAAACAACACGCCGCTGATATTTATCACCACCACTCCAGCTCTGGCTCCCACCTTTGCATCCACTCTGATTCAGAGGAGGACGAAGATTCCCATTCGGCCTCTTTGCACCACCAATCGGAATCCCCTCCGCCGGGTCATACCTATGAGGATCCTAGCACACCCTATACTCATTCCCCTCAAGCTTCGACTTCCGGCACGTTTACGCACATGAATTTCATGCGGAACCAGTCCACGCCGTCGGTGACCTATCAACAATGGCCGATGAGTGCCGATACAATGCGTATGGATGACCTCTCTTCTTCATACTACCCCTATTACAACCCTAACCCCAATCCCAACCCCAATTCCAGCCCCAGCCCATAGTAAAGAGTCAGCACTGAAAGACCGATAGGCAAAGTCCACGTCAGCGCCAGGAAGGCAAGCAACGGGCAAACCGGGAACCAACCGGTAATGTAGACCTAATTGATTGATTTTGGAGACTTGGCGGATTCAATTGAAGGTTTTCGAAGTAGGAGGACTCAATTGAGGGTTCGCCCATAGTACGAGGGTGTAATTGACAGTTTTCCCTAAATATAATCTCTACCACATGATATTTACTTTATTATTTAACATGCAAGTCAACTTTGGCCAAGTTTTGTGGGACGGAGGAAGTATTAAGTGAGTCTTAATTCACCTAAAAGGATCATGTTACCTCATACTTAAACAAATCCTCATGATTGCATATTTATATTTGTAATAGTTCTCGTGAACTTCCAATATGAAACACTTAACATAATGAAAAAGAACTAGATTTTACAAAAAATGATTGAATCACAAACTTGCAATAGACACGAACATGAGGATTCATCTAGAGATAATGTTTACCTGGATTCATCAGTAGGAGCCATGACAATAGCAATTGCCTCGGGCAGCATAATCTAAAAATGAGCAAATACATATGCTAATCAGGAAAAGATGAGATCTTCTGGCATGTGTAAAAAAAGTACCAAGCAATTCAGCAATTCGAAACCAACTAAAAGAGATGAGTGAATGCAATTTTCCAGAAGGGTCAGCTTTAATTGTCCTAAGAGTTATAACACGAATGTAGTGTATCTGTGTGTGGAGAGAGAGTGTTCGTGTGTGTATGTGAGAGAAAGTGAGAGAGATAAAGCATGAACAAAAACCTTTAGTACCTGATAGGAATAATGAGTGTGCAGATCAACTGATGACATAAAACATGTCTGAGATGGATGTGTCTGCAAATTTCCACCCCAAAAATATGTATTAATGTGATGAAAAGCTTTCCAGGATACGAGTCGGACAATATAAAAGTAACACACATTTCTGAAGGATATTCTATATGTCATACCATATATTAGTTTCCATTTATTTATTTCCTCTGTAGCTTTCACTCCGATGATCAAATAAATGACTTAAGGGTTGACTGACATTTTTCTCAAGAAGTTCACATTTTCTCTAATCGGGTTGAGAATACTTTCTTTCATCCTGAAACGTCAATTCCCTAAGTTTATCAAAACTCAAGATAGATTATGCTCAGCTGTAATCCTACATCATCTTACTCAAGTGTTTATCTAGCATCTTAATTCTTAAATTTCAATTGCTTGTGGCCAGAATCATTGGAAGACATGTTTTTTTTCAAAATTTGTTGTGATTTGAAACAAGAACGAGTAAACAACACACCCGTAGCTGGATACTGATTTCTATTTTTCCTATTATAGCCGTGTTTGACCCAACACAGTAGGATAGCTAATGGTCAACTAAAAAATATAATCAGCATTGTTACAGACTAAAAAGTTAAGTCTTAAGACCAATCACCAATGCATAGCTATCAGATAATTCTCAAAGAGGAACTTCATTGAAGTTCAATATGGTAATCATATTTATGTCATATATTAATCTTAGGAGAAAATTCCCTAAATAGTACTCCCTCCATCCCGCTAATATTGTCCCATTTTACCCTTTCGGGAAAATTGTCCCATACTGAATTTGGTAAAGTTTGTGTGACTCTAAATCATTCTTACTTTATTCTTAATTTATCAATTAATATCAACCACACAAACCCACTTTTCTTAATAATCGTGTCACCCCCTTCCGTCTCAATATTAGTGGGACGGAGGTAGTAGTAAAAATGTTTCGAAATTCCAAAATAGGACTGTCATGTTTTTATTCCTTAAATAAGAGTAATTTCTGCCAAGTTTGGCATTATCAGGCTTTAAACTTGGCAGTTTCTGCCAAGTTTGAAAAAAACTTGGCAGAAATTACTCCTATTTAGGGAATAAAAACTCGAAGGTCCTATTTTGGAATCTCAAAACGTTTTTACTCCTATTCAGGGCAATTTCTATAATCTTAAAGCAGTGATTATCAAGCGTTATTTAATCACAGCTAACATTCTTGCATTAGGTGAAACAAAATATTAGAGAAAATGTGAACTTCTTTAAAAAATGTTACATCACTGACAGCTTATTTGTGAAGGATTAAAGGAATAAGTCAACAAAGCTACTTTTGGAACTTACATGAATCCATCCTAGAGGAAAGAGAGATCGCTTGTCCTGGACCTCAAATATCTCTTCTTCATTCAGAGTCTGACACTGAATGCATAAAATGTGTCATTATTATAAAACCATTTTACTGGATTCAATGAAAATATGATGCTACCTCCGTCCCGTTGAAAGTTTCCCATGGCAAAACGGCACGATTATTTTGAAAATACTTAAATAAGCTAATTTGAGTATATTTTGAGAAATAATTTTAATAGGTATGTAATATAATGGGGTTAGTATTGATAATTGTGATGTTATACATGTATTACTTTTAATATTTAATGATTAAATTGTCATTTAAGATTGTTAATTGTTTCCTAAAATATAAGGGAGAACCTTTATATGGGACGTCCAAAAAAGAAAGTGGTAACCTTTCTACGGGAGTATCAGCAACAGCTGCAAGGAAGTGCGTCCATGAACTCTTATGAAGCTTCTTATTAGCAAAGCACATTAGTGTCTACTTGCTAGTCTGATGATATAGCTTGTAATTATCTACTTTTGTGTTAGGAAGCAACCTTTTTCTAATATGCTACTCCATTCCTCTGTTATTAAGTACATACAGCTGGCCTAGCGCAGTATAAACTCATTTCATGTATGTCCTTATTAACTAAGCTAAGCACAGATTGGCAGCTGGAGAATGCAAGGTGACAACAAGGATTTTATTGTAATTAATGTCCAAATAAAAAATATTCCTTACTGTATCTGTTGTGGACTCTTGCTTTGGAATTATTAGAGTAGTGATATGAAATACCCTGTTTTTCTGAAAATGAGCAAGTAGAACATTAAAACCCTGACATTAAATTGTAAAAGAAAAAATGATTGATTGATCATCTGTCACCCTAAGGGAGTCACAAAGCATCTCACCAGTGAGCCAGCAAGAATACCACAAGTTTCCAAGTTTATTGCTGTATTAGCTCGTGCTAAACTCAAAAAATCTTCCATCATCTTTACTGGCTGCAACGAGAGTATACCAAAAAGGTGACATCAGTAAAAATTACAACTGCCAACAGTTCAGTATAAAAACAAAATATAACTTCCTTAACAAAACATGTTCCAAGTGATTATAGCTTACAATGTGTAAACTTTGATAAGCATTAGAACCAGGCATCCCATCTTGAGATGGTTTAAGTGGCCCAGGCCTTGGATCAGCAACTCTAGAAGGAGAAATTGGGCGACGCTCGTGTTGCACTTGTGCAAGGACAGGAGGGGGAGAAGGTTGCCGAGCAATATTTGATGGAAGACTATCATTTTTCACATCATCATACAACAAAGAATCCTCTGTAGGCTGCAACCATCTGCCATCATCCAATGAGAGAACAGAATCCATAGTAGGACTGTCCACTTTTATGTCAGCACCTTTGAGCACATTGGGGGAATAGTGTCCAACCTGCGTAAGGCTAGACGCGCAAATTATATAATCCATACAGATGTCAATCAAGGAAAAAAGGAAAGGGGAAAAAATCTCAAATGTTTTAGGATGGATTCCAAGAATGCCAGAATAAAAAGCTCCAACATATGAGTACAAGGAGAAGTAGAAATGTGCAGCATTGTTTAGGGTTCTAACCTTGACATATCCTCGGAAGCCAATTCGTTATTGGTTGGATAATTCACCTGAAAATAATAATAATAATAATAATAATAGTAATAATAATTAAAAAAATAATGATATAATAATTACTATCTGTGCTAACTAGCTAGCTGACATGTTAAATGATCCAGAGTGCAATAAAAATTGATAAAGTTACCTTTATCTCAGCACTAGGTCCAAGCCATTGGCTACGCAGACCATTTGGGCCTAAGAGGGAGTGCCTTGAAAGTGTTTCTTGCTTTGGAAGTGGTAAAGAGAGAGCCCTGCACATTCAAGTGAACAAAGTAATTTAAGTACACATTCACTTAAATAATAAAATCATTAAGTTCATGTTCGTATTGTTCAGTTACGAAGTTTGAAAGGTCTGTTCCACTATTCCAGTGCTGATTTTACAATATTGATCGTGTATTATACATGACAATAACAACTACATCAACTCGTCGCCCTATCATGAATTCGTGATTTCCGCACGTATGTGGGAATAACTATACGAAGATGAAAGTTTTAGAATTGTTTTCATCATTCCCTTGTAAAAAGGTTGCAAGTTGCAACAGGAAGGACACTCAGGATAAACATTGCCAGCTGCCACTATGGTAATGTTGGATTTTTTTTGCACAATTTAGCAATATAAATTCAATGCAGCAACCCAACTTGTTTGGAATAAGATCCTGATAATGATGTCAAAAACAAGTTTGATGTCACAAACCACAACCACAGAGTGCAGATAGATTTTAAAATCATTTGACACATGATGATGGTAGCAATACTCCATTATCCCTTTTCACATGCAATGATATACTCCCTCCGTCCCACTAACAATGGGACAAGAGAGAGTGGCACACAAACCAATAAAAAGTGGTTTATGTGGTTGATATTGAATTGGTAAAGTAAGAATGAAGTAAGAATATTTAGAGCCACACAAACTTTACCAAATTTGGTATGGGACAATCTTAGTGAGACGGACCGAAAAGGTAAAATGGGGAAATCTTAGCAGGACCGAGGGAGTAGTAGTCTATTAACCTATCATGCAATTAAAATATGAGGGCTGAAATACAAACAGCAGTACTCACATCTTTTGGAAGTGTGAGCTTATGGAATTTGTAGATGAAACTTGAGGTTGATAATTGCTCTGCTTCCGTGAAGAAACTGCACTACTGACAGCCTGTGATGGAGATTTGAGAAACTAAAATTATTAAGTAAAACTTGAATACAAATTAACAGCATCACAAAAAACATTACTACCAGTCTACCATGCTTCACGGTTTAAGATTTGGCAAGGATAACAAAAATTAATAGTTCCTCACCCACTTATTGCCATAGCCTGAAGATGTGTTATTGTCCAATGAGGGTTGCCCTAAAGATTTCCTTGATGATACAGATGGAGTAATATCTGGACCCTCAGGTAGATAAGGTCGAGGTGTCACTTGAAGGCTTTCCCATTCATTCAATTGACGGTAGAATTTTGGCTTTAGAGCCTCCAACTCATCTAGCACTCTCGATAGTTTCTAAATACAAAAGTAAATACATAGTAAACTTGACACATTGTATTGAGTTAGAGAATGCTCCACTTCTACATATGAAAAAATCTTTAACCAAACCGTTCATTTGAAAAAAGACAAATCAATTAAAGAAAGGCATCATGACAGTATTCCAAAAAAATTACAAACTTAAAGCGTGTATATAAGCTAAATCACTCACCTTTCTAGACGACATTTTTTCTTTTGGATGCAAAACATGGTAATCTCTGTGACGTGGTATAGTTTCAGTCACCAAACTAGTCAAAACAGCAACAAGTACATTATAAGAACGTTGCTCAATATACTTCCCCAAATTTCAGAAATTAAATAGTTGGAAAGTGAACCTGGTATCTGTTTACCTAGAATATCTAAGCAGCATTATATACAAATCAATAATGTTCTTCTCCTCCCGGTATATATTTGCCTGTGTACGACCAAACATGTGATAAGTAACTTGCGGCACAAAATTGGTGAAGGATTCAGAAAACAAATCAGAACGGAAGCAGAATAAGAGCACAATTAATTGAACAAAAGCCGGCTAATCCTATAAGGGCTGTTTAATATCTTGATGGGTTAGCTCAAATTGGAGAATATGTACTTCAATTATACAAATAAACTATAAATATATGGACCTGCCGTAGTATATTATCCGCTATCCGATAGTAATTGCGCAGCGAAATTCGATTGTCAACTACGACCTGCCGAGTCATCGCGTTGACGTCGATCGACGGCCGACTCATATTCAGTTGTCTGAAGATTACCGGTAAGTGTGCAAAGAACTGAACGAATTTGCGCTGCTGCTATGTTTATCTGGATATGGTGTCTGAGCCGAACAAAATAGGATCAGTGATGAACGGATTTCTGGGGGAAATCCTTCAACCCCAATATTCTTACTGCCTCCCCAGGTAATAAAGTCCCAATTTGATTAGGAACGTCTATTAGGAATAAAGTTTTGCCCGAGGTACCAACATCTACCTCATTTTTAGCAATGTAACGTGTGACCATAAATCAGATAATTTATTTAAGTGGTGTCTCACTTAAATGGTCACACCTTAGAGATCGGGTAAAATGGGTACTCTTTAAAGTACCTTTGATATTTGTGAATCTGAAAATTGTGAGAAGAAACATTAATCGTTGTCAATCAAGTGCAGCACTCGATAACATAAATTCTAGCCGAAGTGACTAAATTGATTTATTCTATTGATATTTGAAAAAAATTATACTTCCTCTGTCTCTTATAATTTTATCAACTTTCATTTTTCGGATCTCCTCACTAACTTTGTCACTTCTCCTTTTAAGTAAAGAAATTGTGGTTCGAGCTCATTCTATCTCTTTTGCACAACCCTTAACCACACAGTTTTTACTTTATTATTTCTCGTGCCGGTCAAACTTGGCAAAGTTATTAGGGAAGGAGGGAGTGTTAAAATATATTTTATTAATAAAATAAAGAAAAAGTTATATGAAAACAATAACTAAAACTGTCTTTTACAATCAATTCAGCCATATAGCCAAAAAGTAACTTCAACCTTACTTTTTCATATTATTAAATAATTCAGATCACAAAATCAAAAGTTATTTGTTTGGTGAAAAAGTTACTTATAAACCTGATAAGTCGAAAAATAAGGTCACCAAATGGGCTCCAAAATCGTCTATAATTTATAGTTCAACTCAATTAAAACTAAAAATCGGAATCGGGAATGTTCAATTGGGTTACTCCAAAATCAGATATCGCAGTGAATGTTCTCACTTTTGAACAACATTATCTTAACCACATAATTTCAAATATATAATCACGATAAAAATAATAGATAAAAATGTGACTCTAGTAAATTTAGTGGTTATAATTGTATTCAAAATTTATATTGTAGTAACTATAGAACTTACACATCGTAATTTATAGTCACATTTTCATGGATTTTTTAATTATTAGTAAACTATTAAAAAAACAATTATCTTAAACTACATGTCGTTATGTGAGTTTGATGCGGATTTTAAAAAAATAAAAGTAAAATGATAGATAAAGTCATAGAGTAGGAAAGTACTACGTAATAAAAAAGTTAATGGAATCTAATTTAAGAAAATGTTCATATTTTTTGAACAACTAAAAAAAGAAATTGTATCTTGTGAAATGGGATAGAAGAATACCTTATTTTAGGAGCCATCACTAAAATAATCATTAAACATAACTATGATTGTGTCATCTTTTAATATGAGAAAGATACATATATCAAATACACTAATTTATTCACGGTGTTAGGCAATCAAATATACATTGAATTAATATAGAACGATACATTCAGTCAAAAATTTAAGCATATTAGCATATATCATTTGTGTTTCAATACATACATGTATATAAATAATGGTAAATACACTAAATTTAAAAATGTATTTGAGGCAGTTTATCACTGCAATTTTATACATAAATATTTACTTTTATAAGGTGCCAAATTGATGAGTTATGTAACCTATGGTTTGGTTTTTCTACACATAACTTTAAGACATCAAAAGCTATTGAACCATATTATAAAATTATTGACCTATATAATAATTAAGTTAATATAGAATTGATTGATATTTGATAAATTTTATACTCCATATAGCTATGTTAGTTATAATTAATTTGTATTATTAGACTTATTAAGTCAGACATTGAATACACACATGTACAACACACAGGTACTAAGTCTAGGTTATACTAAAAAATGGTGAAATACAGATTCCATTTGAAACCAAGTAAGTGAAAATTCAAATAGAAATCAAGGATTAAAGTATAAATCTAACTATAGTAAGTGAAATTACAAGAAGTGGAAAATTATTGTCATAAGCATTCGGTCACTCGATAATTAATAGTAATCAGGGATTGATGGATTATTAGGGTATCCAAACTATAAAAATGGAGAGATTTGAGATAATGTGAGGAAGAAGGTGAATGAATAGTGGTATATGAATGAATTGTGAAATTAGGTTTACAAGAACTCCCTAAGGGAGTATACATAGAAGAATATCCGGGTCTGGGCCTCTAATATGAGCCTGACAGACCCGGTTACATAAATGGACTGATAATATAAAAGGCTAATCTAGAGCACCTGAATAATAATAATAATGTACAATAATGAAAATGCTATCAGCTGAGTGTACGTGGGCCGCTGTCCAGGCCCAATAGTCGTGAGACCCGGGGGTCCGAGTCTATATACTCCATCAGGAGTCCCCCACTCCCTGAGTCGAGAGTACTCGAGGTGAAAGGAAGTAGAACTGTGTGCTTATCTATCGTCTGATGAGTAAACTTCGTGAAAAATTTTGAATTTCTTCTTCTTTGGCTAAAGGAGGCGCTAAGTCCCCCGCTCTTCCAGTCCCCCACTCCTTGAGATGAATGTAGTGAGGTGAAGAGGAGTAGAGTAGTGCATGTCTCGTTATGTCTTCAATAGGGGGCCGAGGGTCGACACCTTTTGATCCACAATGGGGAGATGCCTCGTTAAAAACCTCATTAGGAAAAAACACAGTGGGAAAAAAATCTTAAATAGGGAAAAAGAGTACACCAGATGCCCCCAAAATGAATCAAAAGGGTGAGCCCTTCGACCTAGGTGTGGAGCTGCAACGGTGTCCGTCTGCTGAGGGGATGGCCGAGATCAGTCTCTAGATGTGAGTAGCTGGCATGATAAGTAGTCCTAGTCATCAAATAAAGATGACTAAGAGATAGATCGAGTGACCGCCCATAATGTGATGTCCGGGTCATCAAATAAAGTGACCGAGACATGTGGCCGAGAGGCCTATAAGAAGTCCAAGCCATCAAATAAAGATGACCAGGAGAGACGGTCAAGTGGCCGGTATGATGAGCTCCACATCATCAAATAAAGATGACGGGGCGATGCATGGCCAAGGTGCCCGGATGAGAGTTCCACGTCATAAAATAAAGATGACGGGGCGATGTATGGCCGAAAGGCCTGTATGAGAGCTCCACGTCATCAAATAAAGATGACGGGGCGATGTATGGCCGAGGGGCCTGTATGAGATCCACGTCATCAAATAAAGATGACAGGTCGATATATGGCCGATGGGCCTATATAAGAACTCCACGCCATCACATAAAGATGGCGGGGCGATGTGCGGCCGAGAGGCCTGTAGGAGAGCTCCATGTCATCAAATAAAGACGACTGGGAGGCTAACGACCGAGAAGCCTGTATGAGAGTTCCACGTCGTCGAATAAGGACGACGGAACGCTATATGGCCGAGGGGCCTGCATAAGAGCTCCACGTTGTCAAATAAAGACGACTGGGAGGCTAACGACCGAGAGGCCTGTATGAGAGTTCCACATCGTCGAATAAGGACGACGGGACGCTGTATGGCCGAGGGGCCTGCATAAGAGCTCCACGTCGTCAAATAAATACGACGGGGCGATACATGGCCGAGAGGCCTATATGAGAGCGTCATGTCATCAAATAAAGATGACGGGGCAATAAAATGGCCGATGGGCCCGTAAATAAGCTTCGCGCCATCAAATAAAGATAACAGAGCAATATATGGTCGATGGGCCTGTAGATGAGCTTCGCGTCATCAAATAAAGATGACGGAGCGATATATGGCCGATGGGCCTGTAGATGAGCTCTTCGTAATCAAATAAAGATGGCAGAGCGATATATGGCCGATGGGCCTGTAGATGAGCTCTTCGTCATCAAATAAAGATGACAGAGCAATATATGGCTGATGGCCTATGGCTGAACTCTGGGCTCCTTTAGCTTTATAGCCGGAGACCGCAAGACGTTCGCTATATCTGAATAGGGGGACGAGGCAGTGGACGCCTGTCTGAATATGAGGGCGACGACGCTGATGAGTCAGTCCGAATATGAGGACGACAGCGCTGATGAGCCGGTCCGAATATGAGGATGAGGCAATGATAAGCCGCGTGTCATATGAAGGCGACGGTCACCATCCAGGAAGGGATTGGCGAGCCTGGTCGCTAGATAAGGACTTCAGCACTGGGGTCGGTCTAAATGTGAGGATGAGGCGATGATAAGCCGTGAATCATATATGGGCGACAGTCGCCGTCCGGGAAGGGATGACGAGCCCAATCGCTATAACAAGACTTCGGCGCTGGGAGCCAGTCTTGAGATAAATAATCATGTCGCGGCCGAGAGGCTGATCGCGATGTGCGGATGACAATGATGAGGAGCCAGTCCAAAATATGATGACGAGGCGATGATGGAGCCGATCGTCATATAGAGGCGATAGTCACCATCCAGGAGGGGATGGTGAGCCTGATCGCTAGCCCAACACACTCGACGCTGATGAAACCAGTGTTGGAATAGGGTGTGACGGCGTGGCCAAGGGGCCGATCGTGATGCGAGGTCGTCAGCACTATGAGGCTGATCCAAAAGTCCAAGCAACGGTGGCCATCCGATGAAGGAATGACTGAGACCGGTCTTGGGGATAGATAATCACGCCGAGGCCGAGGGGCCGATCGTGATGTGCGGACGGAGATGATGAGCCGATCCGATAATATGATGACGAGGCAAGAATGAAGTCGATCGTCATATAAATGCGATGGTCACCATCCAGGAAGGGATGGCAAGCCTGATCGCTAGCTCAAGACTCTCGGCGCTGAGGAAGCTGGTCTTGAGATAGATAGTCACGCCGAGACCGAGGGGCCGGTCGTGATGCGCGGATGGCGATGAAAAGAGCCAATCCGAAATATGATGATGGGGTAATGATGAGCCGACCGTCATATAGAGCCGATGGTCACCATCCAGGAAGGGATGGCGAGCCCGATCGCTGGATCAAGACTCTCGGCGCTGAGGAAGCCGGTCTTGAGATAGATAATCACGCCGAGGCCGAGGGGCCGGTCGTGATGTCCGGATGGCGATGCTGAGAAGCCAATCCGATAATATGATGACAGGGCGATGATGAGTCAGCCGTCATATAGAGGCGATGGTCACCATCCAGGAAGGGATGGTGAGCCTAATTGCTAGCTCAAGATCG